TAATCGAAATTTGGTTGATTCGATGATGAAGTGTTCCGAATTAGAACAGTTCGACATCGAATCGACGAGTATTTTCGTAACATTTCTAGCTAGGCAATCTTTGTAAGGGGTCGCAGGGATGTACTCCGATAGGGTAGGAAGTTTAAGACATGACAGCTCGAATGAGTGAGCTTTAGGGTAAAAGAAAACATTTTCGCCAATGCATTTCAAATCTGCAGTAATTTTGAGGCATGACACGCTTTTCCTCTACCATTTTCATTATTTGTTTAAGTAAAATTATTTTAACACTGAAGGCCAAGCTGCCATACTCTGCAAATCTAATCGTATAACACCATAGCAGTGGTTTGTAACGACAATTAACACAAAAGTTTTACAGCTTAGACTGCAAAACTAGAGGTGATACACTTCAAATTTTTATAAGTAAAAGAAAATACTGCAAGGACATTCCTCCTCATGCAAGATTAGGATAAAAATTAATTCCTACCCACGGAAGACAGAAGGAATACGCTAAACTAGAAGCGTAGCCCTTTTCCACTCTTGCAGGAGTAGGACAAGTGCAATCTAAAAACTTTTGTCCTACTCGGGCAAGGGTTGTTATACTGTTAGATTCGCAGAGTATTTCGAACTATCTCCGAATAACTGAATCCTTTAAAAGCCTTCCTCATTGTTATTCGAAATGAGATAAAAATAACGCTCTCATCCAATCAAAATGAGACCCTTTAACCTCGCCCTCTTTGAATCGTTCATGACTTTATGTGACTGAGAATTTTCACTACAAACCACGGATATTTATGTCACCTTGCCCAAGATTAATGTGGAAGAAGGTCTCAGGAGAGTGAGAGGGTTGCACTCTCACTCTCCCAGAAGTGAGAATTTTTAGTTATTAGTTTATAGATTACAACCCCTTCCATATTTTTGCCCATTTCAGGAATCGAACCAATTATTACACACGCGCATCTACAGCACCTCTAACTTATTAACAGACCCTGTGGTGGCATGTAACAAGCCGATCTGCACGACGCTTCAACCAATACATTCAGCGGTTCTTATTTCTCACACCGCAAACAGCCCTATATTAAAAAAATATACTATCTACAAACAGGCTGAAGTCTTATGAACACTTCGGGCCAATCGAACCATTGACACTAAAGGTAAGATGACGGCCCTTCAATGAGAAACAGGGGTGTACGTCGATTTCAATAAGACATACAATCTAGGGAAAGTAGGCAAAACAGGGAGGACCATGTGACATGGACTAGACCACGGCCTAGGAACAAAATGTGTTGGACTAAAGTCCCCTACAAGTGAGACTAGAGACAGTTTAACCGCAGGGAGTTCAAGTAAAGAAAACATCCTGGTGTTCCACACCGCATATTAGTCATTAGGATTATTAAGCGCAGCATTGTCCGTAATCAAACTCCTGCTCACTACACGGTGACACATAATTTCAAAAAATGTACCTGCTTGAGTTTGTGCTTCAAAAGTACCGCATCTTGAGCTCTAAAGAGTCGTGTTTCGTAAAGAGTCACAATAAGTGAAACTGTCCAGCGGATTCAGTAGGTGCCCAGGTAGCAGTACAATGCGCCTAAAATGCGCACAGGGCGCTTTGAATGCGATTCAAAGCACCTTATGCGCATTTCATGCGCATTTTAGATGAGGCATATAATGCAGCCATGGTGCAGTTTTGCTGGATTTGAAATATTAAGAATTTCGACGTCACTCCTTTCTTACTCCATGCTAAAAGGAAACAAATGAACTCTGGCGCGAAATGTCGATTTTAGACTCGCGTATTTTGCGCTTTCGTAAACGTTCGTTGACGAATAGCACTTGATCTAATTTCTGCCCATTACCCTTTGTTGAGATGAGGATTGTCCCGTATAGCCCAGCCCAAGTAGCACCCGTGTACAGCGGGAGGCGTTGTACGCCCCCACCCTAGGATAGTTAGGATGTACAATGCGTGAGTGGGCGATATTTGAAAAAGTATAATGCGTACTTAGATTTTTGGCGTTTTGAAAGTACTTTACACTGTTTTACTTAAAAAAATAAATAAGAAAAATGCAAGTACTGGACAGATATTGCAGACTTGAAGCAGAAATGGCAGTGGAGTCTTACATAAGTATATTTGTGCGTTTTCTGACATTTATACCACAATATTGCAAATGCAGGGCGGGTGTTTTAAGCCGTCATTTTTTCTGGTTTTTCTGTACCGGATGCAGGCGTGCCGACCGATTGCGTACTCTAAACGGCGCCGTGGTGAAAGTCGGTAGAAGCACCTGCACACCTTGGATGCGGTACAGTAAAGCCAGAAAAAAGTACGGTTTAAAACACCTGCCCTGATTGATGTCAATGACCTCTTCGGGAAAAACACTTTTGATCAACATTAATGCAGCGGAAACTGCTGAGAGTGTATAGACGCATTAACAGAAATCATATGGTGTCAAGATTGCACGAATTAAAATAAAATGTTTTGGATAATCTGTTCATGAATGGAAAGCTGATAGGGCGCAATAAGTTCCATTGATTGTGAATACTGAAAGTTGGAAGAGCCTACACAGAAAATTTTGTTTAATCACATATGAAGAGCATTCACATTTACTGGCCTAGTGATGAGGTTTAGTTCATTAGTAAATTTACACTTTTCAAGACTTTCCATAGAAAAGGTGTCTCCAAAAAAGGAAAATATTTGTGCGTTTTTTAAATTTGATATACTCGTCTTGAACAGTCTTGAAAACAAGTGGAGGACATCGACTTTTGAATTTCTTTCTTCACGTACTCTCTAGAAATCGAAGTGTGTACATGCATCAAATACTAAATACTATATACCTCCATGTACAGCACTAACCCACCGCGCTCACACCGATTTTTATACTTTCTCATACACACTTGCGGGTATGGGTGGGTTGCGTATTCTCTAGGGAGGACGTCCGTGTTTCTCAGCTTCATTCGGCAAGTTACGGGAGCTCAGCGCCTGCGAAACTCTGGGTAGGCCATCCCGCAGTACACGTATGCACTGACGGCGATATGTTGCCTGCCTACCAGGCGCTATTAGAGCTTACAGAAGGCGAACTTGGCAGCTTCAACACAAGTTTATTCCCCGTTATGGCAACGTCGAAGAGTGGTGTAGCGTAAAGTCAAATTAACTTGGGTTCCTCGCGAATCATCCACGTGGACTCTACGTCACCCTTCAACGTTGATTCACCGTTATATGCACCAAAATTTCTCCTCGGGGAATCTACCAATGTATTCAATAACGCCTGCTGACCAATAACACATGCGGAACATTCGACAACTGTTGCATACTTGTACACACTTTGTTTTCTAGAGCTACCTTGCCCTTAATTTAGCGACATCCTGTCGTGAGCGGTCAGTGCAGTGCACTTTTTTCAGATTTTTTTTTAACCTTATGAACTCGCCATAGCAAGCGGAATTCACTGCATGTGATACTGTACCGGTGGTTCGGTGCACGCACCGGTGCGTCGAGGTTTGCGTCATACGCAAGGGATAGCCCTCTGCCCGTAATGTGTCATGGCCCCTGTGAGTAGGCAAACCCGCCGGCATCGGCGCATGAACCGAAAGACTCAGTAAATAGAGCATAAGGCGCGTCTACCTCAAATAGTTCTAACGAACACATCAGATAACAGTACACAATGAGTTACAGGTCACTTGATATTTTATAGTACACCTTTAAATTTGATAACGTCCCATTGCAAAACAAAGCATTTTTTCGTTATATCAATAGAGTAAGATTTGGAAATTAAAATTAAGTATAATTTCTGCAAACAAATTAATGTAAAACCTAAAACTCGAGTGAAGGGCGAGGTGTGGCTAACATTAGAAAATGATTCAATTTTTCAATTTTTGTTTTATTCAAGTTTACGGGGAAACATTTATCATGATAAGTCTTGGGAAACAGAAAATTTCTACTATTGTAAATCTTAGACATTTTTTTCACGAACATTGTTAGAGAAGTGGACTTATAATCGCATGCATATTGGGATTTTGTTGAGAAACGGAAAAGGTTGCGCCTAGGACATTGATTTCCTTTACAAGTTATCCTTTTAGTCTGTGTTTTTACTGGAATCGGATTATATTATCATATTAGCTTCATCCATTGTCCTTTTAGTCACAAAATCAAGAAATAAATTATACGACGTGCACATCGTAGCACTGACGGTTGCTCTATGCAAAATAACAATCACCGGTGTATCAGTTCCATTCTGATATCATAGATCCAAAATCGGATCTAATCAAACGAATGACGTTTATGTTGCAGCTTAAAATAGGGAGTTATTATTTTTTAATTGAACTTCTCAGTGAGGGCTGGTAAGCATAATATTCAGCTTTGGTAACGTCCCAGTGAGAAACTTTTGAGGCAATTATTTCTCAAACTTTAATAAAGTATATGTTTTAGTCCTTTCACTCTAAACTGGTTGGCGGCTTTCTCCTTAACGCCTAATATTGGCGTCTTGAACGCCTAGAATTAGGGTTCTTTCGAGAACGCTAATAGTGTGGCGTCCGTCATGAGACGTCAACCACTTTCCAGTGATTCAGTACCATTAGTGTAAAAGGACAACTCTGCAAAATGTACAGGTGTTAAAGAAATTCAAATGAAAACTAAATTATATAATTGCACAGAATTTGCCCGTTTCGTCACTTTTTAGGTTCAATGTTGTGCCTTCTCCAGAAGAACATAACATTGCACCAAGGTCTAGGTCGAAAATTGTCCTTGTACATTTGTGCGTTTACAACTTTTCACCCACTTCATCGGAAACTGACGTCTATTTGTTTTACTATTGAAAGACTTTACTGCATATCTATAATTTGAATATCCTCACCAGATAACGAAACGTTTTGAAATTTCATAAAATCAAAACACGTATTTGACATATTGAGTGTTCAAGGGTTTCGTCACGATTTGGAATTTATTGTTTTTCACTGGGAGCCTCAGCTGCGCACGAAACTCGTCCACTGTTAAATAAATGGTTTTTTAGGCCTTTCTGGCGAAGCCTGTGTACAGAGTTTTAAAGGTGCCAAAAGTCCCTAAGAGTCTTTGACCAATTTAACGGCTATTTAATTGTGCCAGAGTTCAACACGTTCGTAATATACTTTCTCAGTCCTGTCGTGACCAGTTATGGTTAACGTCACTGGAAGCCCACATCATTTTCGAAACTTGCATCAGCGCCTCCTCGCCTTTCTCCCAATAACATGAGAAACGCCTAAAGGATTCGCCGAAACGACACGTCTTTTAGACAGCATATCGTCCGAACACTGGCAAAACAAATGTTGAGTTTTTACTTCTCTCCGTGCTTATTGCAATCTTATATCTACAATGTTAGACTTTTTAAGGAGTGAAAAATAAATATGTCATTCAAAAAGTATAGGTTTTTTACCTGTGTATAGAAAATAATAACATGGCACAGAACACAAACTAACCGTTTTAAAAATGTTTTCAATTCAGAGAGTATATGTGAACGATATTATATTTTTAAATTTTACACATTTGAATAAACATACTGTGCATTGCATAAAGGCCTTCTCTGACCGACCGCCACTGCCACTGGCCGCTTCGGTTAGAGAAGGCCATTTTGCAATGCTCTGGTGGGCGGACTCTCAAAGAGAGCAATTAATCAACAACATGTTAACAAATCTATCAAAGTATAAAACTAAACATTTGTATTGTCAGTGAATTGAAGGTTACCGCAATTACACTCTTAATGAGGAATTGTGAAAAAAACAGTAATAAAACAAAGTGATGCATACGCTAAATGTATGATTGTTAGAACATTTAGATTTTCATCACACATCTGTCCTTTGACGGCATGATATCGAATCGGCGAATTTTCCCTCAATCTTTGGCGCACTACTCATGTTCTTGTATTGTAGAAAATGTCCAACTTCTGAGCAATTAGCTTAAAAAGACATTGAACGTATATTTTTCATTTACAAAAACGCGACTAGAAAAGTTGTTGAACTCTCAGGATTGGCCTTCAACGTAAGCTCCGTGGTTTAATTTCAACACATACAAGAAAACTAATATTTAACTATATCCTGTCTGGATTTACAAAGACATTGTGGCATTAGCAATAGTTGTAGTGCAAATTTTGAAAATTTGAACGAAAACAATGATTGAGATCAGATTGAATTTAAAATATTGAATGTAGAATGAAAACTGTCAAAATTAATGAAAGGGTACATTCATGACTAAAATTTTCCACATGAAAGGAAATTACCAAGAATGACGTTGAGTAAATGCCTAGAGCAAAGTTAAAGAAGCGTTACAGGCCAAATTGTAGACAAAAATGTTATATGTTCGAACTGTGCTACATTGGCCACCATTTTGGTCTAAGTCAAAGTTTTGCCGAAATGGAGAAGGTTGGGATAAAAATTTCGACAGGTCAAATGGCGTGTGTCTAAGTAAGTTGCACTCTGCACAATGTGTAGGCGTTAAGTACTCCTTCAGTAAGCAGAGTTTTGTTTAAAATGCAGAGAACGAGATGCGTTCGACTTCCAGGTTGTCTCTTTACTGTACTGCGACGATTTACAGCCCTCTTCACACAATGATCCTAGATTTTCCTATAGTGTAACACCCAAAAGTTTGTTCCTGTAGAAAGGCAGATTTTACTTCAGTTCCTTTAAAAAGTGGAAAATGGGTTCAGTTTGAGAATTGCGGCCGGACCTGTGACTTGATTCCCCAACATATGCCACACGCCGGCATTTTCGTTGACCGGATTGAGCAATATTTGAGATAGTGGTCAGCAAGATAACGCCACAGTTTATATTACGGTTTATCCTATTGCTTCCCCACCGACCTTCGACGCAACAAGGCATTGCGGTTATCACTCTTTAAACTTCAAAGCAACAAAATGCAATCGTTCTGTCGTTCATGTCAATGGTCGACTCACTTTCCCAAAATAACAATCTATATGAATAATACTTAGCAACAAATAGTACTTCATCCCCCGCTTTTGTCATAACGTACTCTGATTAAAAATAGGTGTTACAAATCTGAAAATTGTTTGATTTTTCTCAAGTGGATTACAGTCACTCGTGAAGTTTTGATTCAACACGCAGACTTTAGGTACTTTAACCTATTGATAGAGGACAAATATATAGCACTGCAATTTAGATCGCATTAGGTATTTACAGGCATGGCCTCTTGGACTGAACACTTTTTTCAGTTCCTAGTTTGGCATTAGAATAGTGCCATAAATGTTCATATTAAATATCACGTACCCAGAAACCAATGGCTTATTTCAATTAACTTTTAGGGTTTTTAAAGCCATTGTTGTCTAAGCCCTTTTCAAAGCAAGGAACTTAGACAGATTCTGGGTCGCACCAACAATAACAAACAACAACAATTAAATTATAACAAAGTCAGTTAGCGATGCCCTTTGTACCTCTGAAATGACCGATGCGTATAACAATCCTAATTCTGAATGAGTCTAACATTAGGAATAACAGGTAACAGACCTTGGCTAAGATCCAATTTCACCGCATACAAGCCAAGTAAGAAAAGTACAATACCTATATCATAATCCTCGTCTACCTACTATAAAAACCTACAGATGAAGTAAGAAATGACATCTTCAAAAGTGGATTTCAACATTTTTCTTTTGAGGATCAGTTCGAAATATCTACTAAGCATCAAAGATAGAACTTTTTCAGGACAACACATCCATTTGGTGAGACTGTGTTCGCTCTGTTACCAAGATAGGTATACGTTTCCTGGAATAGCTACTTAGTTCAGTCGAGGACGCCAGTCAGCCAACCATTAGCTTGTAACCTACACGTTTCTACCACACTCATTCTTTACAACCAGTTTGACATTACAAACAAGACGAATTTTGTGAAATGAATTTCACTGAAGCCCATTTGCTAATACAAAAGAGCCCCAAAACTAAATACCATACAAAATTAACAGTTTCTTAGGGTCTATTAAGTCTAGTTTATTTTGTGAATATTGTTGACTCTTGTTTTATTCCCCCTCTAACACATTTCCCTCCAGGTTCACCGTTTGCTTTTGATCACCCTCAATTTTTTAAATAAAAAGACGGCATAGATAAATTATCCTTCACCCGCGACTACGTAACGTGCTCAGCAAAACGGAAAAATGACAATATTACAGTAGCTGTAGTTCTTTTTCCTAGACGGTTCGTTCTTTGCAAAACTCTTCTCAACAACTCAAACAACAACGGGGCACAAGGCAATGTAGGGACTGTCGCGCGGTGCCTTGTCCGAGGCCGGTGCTTGGGCCGCCGATGAGGCCATTGTTGAGGGCGGCGCCGAGGCCGAGGCCGAGGCCAGGGGTTTGGTCTCGGCCGTCCCGGATCCGCACTGCGCGCGGCGCCCGCCCCCAAGGCCACGACCCTCCTCGCCGGCGAGGAAGGTCGAACCCTGGTGGCGTGCATCGCGAGCTGGTGCAGCATGATGACGCTCAAGAGCCCCAGCAAGTAGTGGTTGGGCGCGGGGGCCGCACCGCTGGACGGGCGGGGCGGTGGCGGAGCCGTGGCGATGGACGCTGCGCACGCGGACGGTAGGGTCCGCTCCCCGGGAGCGGGCGTGGGTGCCGGTGGCGGCGGCTCGCACACCACGGGGAGTGGCGTCTTCTCCGGCGGCTTCTCCAGGCAGGACGTGTCGCTCGGGCACAGCCACGGCAGCCCGCGCTCGTTGCAGTGCCGGTAGCAGCAGTCGTCCTCCCCGTACGATGACTTGAGCATCTGTTCTCCGGACTCGGGGATGTTTGGATCTGCAACATGCACACCGTATGATTGGGTCCTCGCTCATAATCTTACTGAAAGTTTGTAGGTGGGCATTTCATCACAGAGAAAAGGGATGAAGGGATGAAGCGGTGGAAACAACCCACGTCATATTAAGATAAGAAAAGTCTACCGGCGTGGTAACCGATGTG